ATTCCTTCTCACAACAATATTTTTAAATGCATAAAATAAAGTACGAAGGATTACAAAGGAAACCAATTCTGTTGAAATGCAATTATCCAAAAAAAAATTTTTTTTAGAGCAAGTTCACGGACCCTGGGTTAAAAATGCATGCACTAATGCAACCTTTAGCCACATTAATCCTACCAATTTCTTTTTGTTACAAATAAGGAAACCGATGCCCAAAGAGAGGAAATTACTTGCCCAAGGTCGCAAGACCATGTGGACCTGGGATTCCCCTCCTACTTTCCACCCTTGCCATCCAATCAATATTAGGACTGGTCAGATAAGTAGCTGCTGAGAGATTGTCAGAACTGGAAGAGAACTTTTAGGCCTTCAGAGATGAAAGAACAGACCCACGGTCACATAGCTGGTTAGTTCTAGAGGGGAGACAAGAACCCACAGGTTTCCTGATACCCAATCCATTGCTTTTCTTACTACTCCACTTAAGAGATCCAAATCCTAAAGCTACCATGACTAATCCTCCCTTCCAAGTACAGTCTATTGCAGTCAGTTCAATTTTGTGTATGCCTGTATGTTTTGCCATAATCTTAGAATTGAACCAATAATAACTGACATTTAAATGGTGCTTTAAAGTTTACAGAGAACCTTATGTACATTTATCTCATTTAAGCCTAACATGGCAGGTATTCGTAGGGGGATAGATTTAGAGCTAGCAGGGAACGTTCGAGCTGTTCCTGACAAGTGGACCCAGAGAGGTTAAGTGATTTCCTCCTAGTCACACAGCTGGTAAGAGTCAGTACCCAAAACTAGAAGAGACTGAGGGATCCTCTAGTGCAAACCCCTCATTTTATAGAGAAGGAAATCGAAGGGATTCCTCCAAAGTCATACAGAGAGTTAATGCTTTGATTGGTATCTAGAGATTAGTGAAAACCTTTGGGGGCAAGAAAATGGAGGGGAAGAAAGGAAGTAGTCATGGATGTTGGGGACACCTTGCGGGGAAAGCACTTCACAAGAAGCTGAAGAATCATCTTGGAATCCAGAACAAGCCTCCTCCCTCTTGCCTAGGCATGTTGTGCATGTTCATGGACATGTATGTGTATGTGGGAGAATGCCTACATGCCTGGGTGGGCACATGTGGGTGTTTATGTATGTGAGCACATGTGAGTGTTTATGTACATGAGAAGGGTGAGTGAATGCACGTGGTTATGTGGTGTGAGAGGATGTGACTCTAGCCTTGGAAGCTGGGCATATCTGTAGTCACTCTGCAAGTGGCCAGTCTTTCCTCTGATTGGAACCAGCTGGAAGGCGTGCTACAGAGAAGGGGTGGAGGAAGCAGGACCAGATGGAAGCCGAGGAGAGAAAATGAGAGCAGTAGAGAGGAGAGAAGAAGAGGAAGAGATGGGAGGGGAAGTGAATAAAAGACAGTGAGACACAGAGGCAGAAACAGACAGATGACAGAGAGAGAGAGAGAGAGAGAAAGGACGAGGAAGAAAGAGAGATAGAGAGAAGACAGAAGAGAGATTGGGAGAGAAGAGAGACAGAAAAAGAGAAGGTGGAGGAAGGAGAGGGGAGGAAGGGAAGGGAAGGGGGAAAAGAGAGAGAAAAGAGGCCAGAGGTGTTCTCCGGGAAAAGTACACGATCCTGTCAGCAGTTACCACCATGCCCAAGAATTGGGGACTCACACAACTCTGCCCCCATTTTGGTCTTTAAATTTTTTTTTCAATTAACAGGCATTCATTTCTTCTTCCTCCCCCATCCATCCCTCTAGAAAAAAAGAAAGAAAAACAAAATCCTTGTAACAAATGTGCATAGTCAAGTAAAGCAAATTCCCAAACACCTGAGTTATCTGTAGCTCTCCAAGGCATAGCAGTGGCTCTCCACTGTACCCTGTGACTTCTCAGGGATGAGTCTGATTAGGAAGCATTTGGGGAATCTGGCAAAAGTAATTAGAATCTTTTTGGGGAGCAGCTAGGTGGTGTGGTGGAGAAAGAGCTGGGCCTGGAATCAGGAAGATTCATCTTCTTGAGTTCAAATCTGACCTCAGATACTTACTAACTGTGTGACCCTGGGCAAGTCACTGAACCCTAGCTGCCTCAATTTCCTCATCTGTAAAATGAACTGGAGAAGGAAATGGCAAAACGCTCCAATATCTTTGCCAAGAAAACCCCAAATGGGGTCATAAAGAGTAGGACACAACTGAAAAGTGACTGAATAATAACAACAATTGGGCAGCAGGAAGGAGAGGCAGATCTGGATTTGAAATAGGACTCCTCACTGAGGAGAGATGCTCCAGTGTCTGTGCAAAGAAGCAAAAGGGAGTGGAGCATGGAATGGGGCTGAGGGTAGGTGACTGGGGAGATGTGCTTCATGTCCCTTCCCAGCCATCTCATTGATGCTGGGAAAACTTCTCAACCCAGGAAGGGAGGAGAGAGGAGGGAGTGAGGGTTGGAAGTCCTTGCTCTTTTACCAATGCCCTCATCCTTATTGATATTTCCCCACTGTCAGTTGGACAGAAGCCACCGGCTGCTCTCTGGGGGGTCGTCTGGGCATTCGGATGCAGCTTCCAGCTGGCAGGAACCCACTGAGGGCTGGCAGTGCTCCTCTTCCCTCATCTGTGGGGCCCCTTTCTCTTTCTCTACCACTACAGCACCACCAAAACTGGGTAGCCCAGAGGTCCATCTTGTGGAGGGAGCCTGTTTGCTAAGTGTATGTGAGCAGCCTTGTAGGACTAGCCATGGGGGCAGGGGTGGGGTGGGGAGTGATGGAAAGTGATGGTCTGCTTGCATAGTTAAGCTCTTCTTGGGGCTAGGTTTGGCCCCCAAGAGTAGACACCTGTTCCTGGCTCTACTACCCACTTCGCTGAGGTGTCCCAACTGGTCCCTTCCTGGAGGGATCCTGTGCTGGTCTATTAATAAATTCTCCAGGGCCCAGGAAAGTGGAAGGAGGAGTTTGTAGACAAAGCTTCCCTGTGGTATGGGGGGAGCATGGAGGTGGCAGGCCTGTTGGGATAGTTAGAAGAATGTCATCAGTGCTGATGGAGACAAACGTAGGTCACCTAGCCTTTGAAACAGACAGCCCCTCTTCCTTGTAGCACCTATGTGGTGAGGCAGCCAGCACTCCTGAGACCTTTCCAGTGCTCCTAGAACCTTCGCCTCTTTTACTCCTCTTCTAATGAATGCTATTTGGCCACTGTCCTCTAGCTCTTCTCTCTGCCTCTCAAAGTTCTGCTCCAGATCAACTTCAGGGCTTAAAGTGGAGGGAAAATGCCTCGGAGGAGAGGTAGGGCAGCAATCCCTTGCCAGGCAAAGGCAGGGGAAGACACTCCCCCCGCCGAGGGTGAGAACTCTCATCTCACCCCACAGCAGGATGGTCTGAAAGGACTGATCCTATGGCAAAACCAACCCAATTCAATCCAAAAAGCCCGGATCAAGGCGCTGGGCTTGGCTCTGAGATTATTGAGACAAAACAGAAAACAGTCCCTCCACTTAACATTCCAGTGCATGGATATAATGTGCAAGTTGATAAGGATAAATACCATGATGAGAGGAGAAAACACTGCCCACCAGTCACATAATCAGAGGTCCTGGTTTGTCCTGATAATTGTCCTCATTTCTCTGATTGGCATCACACATCAACTCTCCGACTTCCTTTTCACTTGGAGTATTTGACAACCTAGATGCATTGTGACCCCCAGGAGGTGCCTGGGAAAGTCCCAGTAGTTGAGGAGGGGTAGAAAGCAGGGTAGGAATCCCAGAATCCCCAGCCTAGCAAAAAACTGAAGGGGTCAGCTTGCCCCTCTCTCTGACTTTGAACAGCACTGCTCCACCCCAAACAGGGGCCTCTCATTGGTGGAGTGAGACTCTCCACCCCCCTCAGTCTCCCATGCCAATGTTCTCCCACTGCTGATGACCAGAAAGTTCTTGACATCTGCCTTCAGTCTCTTCGGCTGCGGTAGCCCACATTCTTCTTTTCTTAGCAGAGATGGATTGCAGCAATCCCAGGTCAGACAGATTGAAAGGGCCTTTTCTATCTCACATCTTTCTGTTTGTTTTTCCAAGGAACACGATGTCTGAGGGAAATTCTGAGTCTGTGTGCTGCAGGCAAAGACTGAGGCTGTGTGAGCCAAGTGGGAGGAGAGCAGAGGAGCAGCACAGAGCTGCCCTGGATGGTCAGACTCTGATGGTACCTTTTCACCAGGCAGCTCCCGAAAGCTTGGTAGTGTGGAGACTCAGGACCAATCCTAGCTCTGCTACTACCTCGGTGTGGTGTCTTGAGAAAGTCACTTCTGTTCTCTAGGTCTCAGCTGCCTCATCTGTAAAAGGAAGTTGTTCACCTCGTCCACCTTTTTTGTGTCACCAACCCCTTAGTAATCTATTGTCATGGACTCCTCAGAAAGTTTTTAGATGCATAACATAAAATATACAGGAGTACAAAGGAAACTAAAGGCTAGTGAAGATAAAGATGTCATTTTTTTCTTGTTGAAGTTCACAGACCCCCTGAAATCTATCCACTTGCCCATTGGGGGTCCATGAACCCCAAGTTAAGAACCTTTGAGCTGAATGATCTTTAAGGTGTCTAAAAGTTCTAATACCTAGTGATTCACACTATACTACCACCCTTTTCTTACCGGGGTTGGGAGGGAGAGACAATTTCTCTCTATCACAGGTGGGTAAATGAAAGGTTAGATGACATTTTTGCAATCTTGGAGTAGAGTGGAGACTCCTGATTCCTAATGGGCTAGTCACCGACCTCCCCAGAGTGACTCAGGCACGCTCCCAGGAGGCCAAGGCCACTGCATAGAGTATCTTTTCTTTTCTGGAGAAAATAGAGAAAATACAGGTTCCCCAACCACCCCTCTCTCTGCCCTTGAGCAGGGTTCCAATATGAGATGAATCCTTTTCTGTTGTTTTTTTGGGGAACTCTTGCAGAGTTGACCATTTTTTTTGTCAAGCTGCCTTAGTCTAATCTATTTAATACTCTAATGACCCTCCTATATCTCTCTACTGTAGGTGAATGCCCTGGACCATGAAGCCCTCTCTCTGCTGGGCCCTCCTTCTCCTCTTCATCTTGTTCTTGGGAGCCCATAGCCAAAGTAGGCCTCCCAAAAGGCGACCTAAACCTGGGCCCAAACCCAAGCCTACACCAAGAGTCCCTCCTCCATTCAGACCTGGCCTTGAAGAGCCCTCTGAACCCACAGACCTGCCTCCTCCCCTCCCCCCAGGACCCCCATCGATCTTTCCTGACTGCCCTAGAGAATGCTACTGCCCCCCAGACTTCCCATCAGCCCTGTATTGTGACAGCCGCAACTTGAGAAAGGTACCAGTCATCCCGTCCCGAATTCACTATCTCTACCTTCAGAACAATTTCATCACGGACCTTCCCATAGAATCCTTCAAGAATGCCACTGGACTGAGGTGGGTCAACCTTGACAACAACCGTATCCGCAAGATAGACCAGAAGGTGTTGGAGAAGCTGGAGAGTCTGGTCTTTCTCTACATGGAGAAGAACCAGCTCCAAGAGGTCCCCATGGCCCTTCCCCGCAACCTGGAGCAGCTGAGGCTGAGCCAGAACCAAATCAACAAAATCCCTCCAGGTGCCTTTAGCAAGCTGGAGAACCTGGTGCTCTTAGATCTGCACCACAACAAGCTCAGTGATGGGGTCTTCAAGCCTGACACCTTCCAGGGTCTCAAGAACCTCATGCAGCTCAACCTCGCTCACAACATCCTGAGGAAGATGCCCCCCAAGGTCCCCACAGCCATCCACCAGCTCTTCCTGGATAGCAACAACATCGAGAACATCCCCAATGGCTACTTCAAGGGCTTCCCCAACCTCTCTTTTATCCGGCTCAACTACAACCAGCTGTCTGACAAGGGGCTCCCCAAGAACTCCTTCAACATCTCCAACCTGTTGGTCCTCCATTTGTCTCACAACAAGCTCAGCAATGTGCCAGCCATCAACAACCGGCTGGAACACCTGTACCTCAACAACAATGAGATTCAGAGTGAGTAATGGATGGCATGGGGGGAATGGGCATGAGCAATGAGGGAAGGACAAGATGGAAGAGTCAGACAATAAGCAATTGTTAAGGGCCTGCGATATTCCAGGTGCTGTGCTGAGGCAGGAAACAATAACTTATTAAGGATTTGCTACGTTTCTGGTACTGTTCTAAGACAGGTTGGCAACAAGAATTTATTAAGTGCTTACGATATGCCAAGCACTGCACTAGGCTCTGGGCAAAATATAAAGAAAGGGAGAGACAGAGAAAGACAGAGAGAGAAAGAGAGAGAGACACACAGAGAGACAGTCAGAAAGACAGATAGACAGAGACAGAGAGAGCCAGAAATAAATAGGCAGAGAGACACACAGAGACAGAAATGAGAAAACAGAGACAGAGAGAGAAGAGGAGAAAAGAGGAAAGGAGAGGAAAAGATAGAGACAAAAAGAGAGAGAAGAGAAAGGGAGGAAGAGAGAGGAGAGCAGAGAGAGAAAGAGAGACACAGAGAGAGAGAGAGAGAGAGAGAGATATTTACTTTATAAGTATAAAATGGAGGATAAGGGCCAGCAGTTTGCCTGAGAAAGAGCTAGGGGTTTTAGTGGACTGCTAACTCCATATAAATCAGCAATGTGATATGGAAGCCAAAAATACTAATGCGATCTTAGACGGCATTAAGAGAGACACAGTATCCAAGACTAGGGAGGTGATAGTCCTATCATAGTCAAACTATATCTTGAGTATTATGTTCAGTCTGGTCACCCCATTTTAGAAAGCATCTTGATAAGATGGAGAACGTCCAATAGAGGCAATCAGGATGGTAAAGCGCTTTGAGATCATGTCATGTGAAAATTGGTTGGAGGGGCAGTTAGGTGGTGCAATGGATAGAGCACTGACCCTGAAGTCAGGAGGACTGGAGTTCACATCTGGCCTCAGACTAAACACTTGACACTTACTAGCTGTGTGACCCTGGGCAAGTCACTTAACCCCAATTGCCTAAAAAAAGAAAAAAAAATCATTGGAGAAACTAAGAACGTTTAGCCTTGAAGATAAAAAGATTTGACCAATGGAGAATAGCTGTCTTCAAGTACGGGCAGGGCTGTCATGTGGAAGATGGATTGTACTTGCTCTGCTTGGTGCAGAGGGCAGAACTAGGACCAATATGGGTAGAAGGTACAAAGAAGCAAATTTAGGCTGGATGTCAAGAAAAATCTTGTTAACAGTGAGAGCTGCCCTAAAGTGGAGGCAGCTTCTTTGGGAGACAATGAGCTCTCCCCTACTGTGGCTGAACCACCACTTAGTGCTGTTAGTTATAGGGATTCTTGTTCAGGTGCAGGTTGGCCTAGGTGGTCTTCCAGAGTCATGATTCCATACCAGTAGTCCGATGGTGGCTCTCGTTTGTATGGTTGTTTTAAGGTTCACAGTGTTGCCTTATAACACGCCGGTGATCTAGATAGCTCAAAAGCTACTATCCCTGCTTTACTATGGAGGTAACTGACAGTCAGAGGAGTTAATATGACTTGACCAAAGTGACAGGTAGTGATTGACCAGACTGGAGCTTGAGACCAGCGTCTTCAAACTCCAAAACCAGTGCTCTTATCACAACACAGATGCCTCACTAAACAATAGCTGCCTCTCCAAAGATGACCCAGGTTAGAGAGAACAATTCTTCCCATTCAGGAGCTCTGCATGGGTGGCTACTTCTTTCCCATGATCTACAGGGGTGCACTTGAGTATTTTTTCTGATTGTGGGGTAACATTAAAATGAAAACAACAAAGTGACTACTTTGTGCCTGTCACCATGGATACAAAGACAAAAATTAAAAAGTCCCTGTCTTCAAGGAACTTATATTCTATTGAGAGACAATAGCACACACACATATAATAAATATGAAGTATGTATTCAGTATCCTTTCTGGGGTCACTTCCCCAACAGAATACTAATAGTTACAGTCCCCAGAAAGTAGCAGATCACTTCTCTCAACATCCTAGGGGTAGCTCTAAGGTGTTGTGTCTTCAAACACTGAAGCTTTTGAGCCCCCCACCTGTGTGGTCTCCATTGTCAATCTGTTAATTGAACTCCATTAACTTTTGGAAAAGGGATGTATAGGGAAGGTATAGCAAGAAAGGGACAGTTAGGTGGCACAATGGATATAGTGAAGTCAGGAAAACTCAGCTTTCTGAGTCCAAATCTGGCCCAAGACACTTACTAGCTCTGTGATCCTACACAAGCCATTTGGCCCTGTTTGCCTCAGTTCCTCATCTACAAAATGAGCTGGAGAAGGAAATGGCAAACCATTCCAGTGTTTTTGCCAAGAAAACCCCAAATGAGGTCATGGAGAGTCGGATATAACTCAAAACAACGGAACAAGAACAACAGCAGGAAGAATTGGTGCGAAAACATTCTCCTGTAAGTTACTTGTTTCTCCTAGCACTCACAAGGTACCTGGGAGAGTGGACTCAAACTTAAGTACAAGGGTAGTGAGGTCCATGTGAAGGGAACACAGATGGCAAAGGAGTACCTCATAAGTGCTGGCACTGGAAGTCCTTTTTTCAATTTGTGGAGTTCTTATGAAGTTCCCCTTTGATGTAGTTACCTGTTGAGCTTTGAGGATCAATGCCTTACTAAAGTCCACAGCCAGCATTTCTGTCATTTCAAGGAGGCATAGTTTCTGAAGCTGCCACTTCTTACTATCTGCCTGCAGGTGTTTCCTTTGTTGTCAACAACTACAACTCTGATAGCCGCTGCTATTGCCTCTAGTCACCAGGGGGACCTTTTATGGCACCTCTGGTTCTTCCAAACTCACCGGGTCACCTAGTCACTCCCATCTCAGAATACTTATTCTCCTAAGATCAGGAAATAACAACCACAAAAAAAATAGAAGCATTACTTGTTCACAGATGCATCAGAGCCATGTGAAAGATAGGGCATTCCTTTCTCCCCTCACCGACCAGCTCAAAACAGTTCTCCTTGTGCCAGGCCCCCAAGAAAAAAAGAGACTGGTGGATCAGTGGTTTATACCTCTTATGTGCACACTCAGTTCTATCTGAGCCCCTCCTGAGTTATCTACTCTACTGGCTCCACAGCCAATTAGCAGACTTTTCATCATCACACAGTACCAGCCCCTTAGTCGTTCATGACCACAGGTAGGCTTACCAAAGTTTCTACATGGTTGCTTAAACTGAAACCAGAGAATATCTGCCCTTAGTTCAAGGACTGGAATGAGGCAAGGCACATCTGCCTCTGCTTTGAAAACTGGCCCTCATAAGACCTCATGGGTCAATCCATCCATGCTGCCTACATAAAGTTAATACAAAGTAATGGGGGTATACTAACAACTTGGGGAATCAAGAGAGGCTTCACATAGGAGGCAGCAAAATGACTTGGATGGAAGGTAGAGGTTCCCAGAAGCAAAGGTGGGTAGAGGGCATTCCATGCCCCAGGGCATGGTCTGTATAAAGGTGCTGAGATGGAGCCTGGAATGTTGTGAATGGGGAAGAGCATTTAGGCCAGTCTGACTGGAACTAGAATGGAGACAGGAAAGGGGATGGCAATAAGCATTTATGTAGTGCCTAGTATTTGCCAGGAAGCATGCTTGGCATTTTTGTGGTTATTGTTTTCTACAAATGTTATCTCATTTGATCATGGTCCCCACCCTAGTTCAGACCCTCATCACCTCTTGTCCAGAGTATTGCAATAGCCTCTTAACTGATCTCCCTCTCTTTAGTCTCTCCCCTTTCCCATCCCATCCTCCAAATAGCTACACAATTAATACTCCTAAAGCACAGGTCATGTCATTCCCATGACTAGAAAGCTTAGTGGCCACTTACTGCCTCTAAGGTAAGATATAAACTTCTCTGTATGAGGAGTCTATATTTAAAGTCAATATGGCTCCAACCTATCTTTCTAAACTGATCTTGCTTACTTCTTTCTGGCCAAACTGGCTTACTTGCTGTCCCTCACACACACATTCCATCTCCCTCTTCTATGTCTTTGCATAGGTGGTGCCCCATGCCTGCAATGCCCTCCCTCCTTACTTCAGCTTCATAGAATCCCTGCAGGAGTCCTTTCCTCCTCTCCCTACTTATTATTGCTCTCCCCGTCATCCTCCTCCAAATTCATTGTATTTACTCTTTATACATTTTGTATTATACGTTGCTTTCTTATTGCATCATATGTTGCTTTCCTCTCCATAAAATGCAAGCAGCTTGACAGCAGGGGCAATTTTGTTTCTGTCTTTGTACCCCCAACACAACTAGTATGGTGTCTCCCATGTGGTAGGTGTTCCATTAATGTTTTTTGAACTGAATTGAAAGCAACAGCTCAGCCTTGCTAAGAGCATGAAGACCCTCTCCTAATCCGAGGCTGTCTTGAGGCAGCATGTGAACACCAAGACAGAAAGAGTCTCCATGCTGCTGTTCAAGGCCCATTATAATACAATCAAAGGGCCAAGAGAATCCGAGCCAGGAGAGCAGATGAAACCACTTCTTGGACAAACCGGGAGGCCCTTCTCTTTCCTGGGTGGCTTTCCTTGTGTTTATACTTGTGTCCCCCTATGCTGTGTCCTTCAAGGAAGTCCATCCTCTGGATTATATTCTAAGTTGCCTAAAGTCTAAGGCCCAGAGAACACCAAAGGATTGATGATGATGACTGTGTCATAAAGCCAGCTATAGCTGTATCCATGATAGCGTCTACTCAGTCTTGTGGCAGCTAGGTGGTGCAGTGGATAAAGCCCTGAGCCCGGAGTCAGGAAGATCTGAGTTCAAGTCCAGTCTCAGATGCTTCCTAACTGTGTGATGCTGTGCAAGTCACTTAACCTCTGTCTGCCTCAGTTTCCTCATCTGTAAAATGGAGATAATAATAGCACCTATCTCAGGGCTATTGTGGGGATCAATATTTGTAAAGCTAGTACCTAGCACATAGTAGGTACTTAATCAATTCTTATTCCATTCCCCCTACTCTAATGTGCCTGTATCAGAAGGCATAATATCTTGGTGGTAACATAAACACTCCACAAAGTCTGCCCCCCCAAGGTCTTAGTGGGGACTAAACAATGAAAAACTTGGGGGAACAATCGTAGCAGGCGGGTGGTAGCTGATAGGATTATAGTCTGTGTTCTTATCCTGCACAGGTTACACTCACAGACCCTCCCACACTTGCCTTCAGCAATGATTCCACTGCAGCCAAGCCTCTGAGTGTTATCTCCACTTACATTCTTGGGACAGTGAGGCAGAGATATTGACTTTCTCTGGGCATTGTCATCTGATCTGATAGACTTGGATCCATGTTCTTCCATTATAACTGGTACTAGTGATATTCATCATTGGGAAATTGGAAGAGGTTGTATTGATAGAGCAGCAATTTGAGAAGACTACTTTCGACAGAAAATCTCTTTTTGCTATTGTTCAATCCTTCTCTTCACCACCCCATTTGGGATTTTCTTGGCAAAGATACTAGAGAGGTTTCCCATTTCCTTCTCCAGCTCATTTTACAAATAAGGAAACTGAGGCAAATAGGGTCAAATGATTTGCCCAGGGTCACACAGCTAGTAAGTATCTGAGGACAGATTTGAACTCAGGTCTTCCTGACTCCAGGCCTGGCCCTCTATCTACTGCTAGCAATCCCTAGCTTCCTTCAAAGCACAGCTTAGGTACCACCCCCATAGGAGAAATTTCCTCAGTTCTATAATTATTATTGCTGTCCCCTCCTCCTCCAAATGCAGTATATTTACTCAGCACACATTCTGTATGTGAAACGCTTTAATGCTTGTTTTGGAAAGCCTCATAAGAAGCAAGGTGCTGCAGATACATTGGGAGGCACATATTGAGATAGAAGACTGTTTCTCATATCATTAATGATTCCTAAGAATCAGTACTGTATCACCTTGTCTGGACTATTACAATAGCCTCTTAACTGATCTCCTTACATTTCATCTCTGCCCTTCTAAGCCATCCTCCACACAGCTACAAAATGAATGCTCCTAAAGCACAGATCTGACTGTGTCACCGCCATGATTAGGAAGCATAAGTGGCCGCTCATTGACTCTAGGATAAGATATAAGAGTTTCCGTAAAAGGTCTGACCAGTGACTCTAGGCAGTAGCAGTGACTCCCAGAGTTGCAGTTGCTGACAGCAAAGGGAATACTTGCTTACTCTATTAGTATAGCAGTGCTGAAAGAGATCTGTAGAGGGAGTTAAATGGGGATCTTAATTGTTACATACCCCACTCCAGATAACCTGATGGGTCTGATGCACAGGCACGATGCTCATGCAGGTGAATGAATGGAAGAGGAAACAAGTTCTGAATCAATAGGAGTAGGCAGAAGGAGCTCTGGATGAACAAGCCGGAGAATCCTGAGCCCATGTAGTTGAGGGTCAGCCGTCAGTGCCAAGCTTCTCAGAATTAGTGATGCCAAGATCAGCATGGCCTGTCTTTCAGAGGCAATGTTCCTGATCATCTAACCGTGTACTGCCGTCAGACCCAGGGTTAGGACCAAAAGAAGGGTGTGGGAAAGTATGAAATAGTTGAGATTAGTCTTATGGATGGTACAGAGATTTCGGTACCTCTGGGTATGACTCTACTGAGCCCACTATAACTCATATTTTTAGTGTAGTGCCTTTGTCATCTGGCCTGAGGCCACCTCAGACTAGAGAGCACAGCAATGCACCTGTCCTAGACTGGGCTCACTGTAATGGTAGTTTACATCTTATCCCCAGAACTCCACCAGATTGATAAGAACCCAGTTCCATAGGGTGGTGTGCCGCATGGTTCCAAGAGCTAAAGGAAGCTCCCAGAGGGGCGGGGGGGGGCAGGGAGGGAATAGAGAAGACCAACATTCTCTTGGCTGTCTGCAGATTGGACCAAGAAGTCTTTAGTACGTAGAAAGAAAGAAGGAATCAGGGAATAAAACAATTCCTGAATGTAGAGACTACCCAAAGAAGAGACATTCATTCCTATTGGCAGAACCTTGAAGATACAAAGCAGGCAAGGAGGATGATTTGAATTGTCCTTAATATTGCCCAGTCATTAGGAGTAGTACTAGCTTCTCCAGCAAGAAAAAAAAAAGGACGAGATAGAGACTGCCAGATAAGGGTATACTGAGGTAGACAGTATGCAAAATAACTAGCTGAGATTAAGGCAGTGGTCCAGCAGTCGCCTAGTGTGGTAGGGAAGGCCACCACCCCTCCTCATATAGAAGAATAAAGGGGATGGGCCTCAGAGGTGAGCTCTGTTACTATAACCAGAAAGGAGGGGCAGCTAAGAGGTGGGGACAGGAAGACAGCAGCTGCTGCTAGTGTCTCTGACTTGAGCACTAGCTTTTTGCTTACTCTATGGATGACTGTAGGTAATATAGAAAATAAGGAGATAAATAAATATGATACATAATATATAAATATATAATATATAAAATAAGGTTAGTATTTAAGTCAATATCAGTTGTGTCTGAAACCATCCCTACCAAGCATTGCCTTGTTCTCTTGGCTATGTTTATGTCAGAGGTCAAGAGACCCTGTCAGATTGGATTCAATGTGATAATGACATTTTCAGTAATATTTGCAATGGTGCAGTGAATGGAAAGAGCCCTGGACTTGGACTCAAGAGCTCTGGGTTCAAATCCAGGCCTGACTTCTACTATATGTGAAAGTATCTTTAAATCTCAGTTTCCCACTTTATGAAAGAGATAAAAATACATACTTCATAAGGTTGTTGTGAGAAAAGTGGTTTATAAATGTTAAAGTGCTATAAAATGGTATTTTTTGTATGGTACTGTTTGGTTTTCAAAGAATTTTCATGCACACCATCTCCTTAGGTCCCTTGACAGAAATGTAAACACCTTAAAGACAAGGACTGTTGTAATTTTATCTTCGCTTCCCTAGCATCTGGCATAGACTCGTATTTATCAGGTTCTTAATAACTGTTAGTTTGGTTAAATGTTACCACAATCTTGTGAACAGGTGGAACAGGTTTCCATGTCTATCAATGCCTTAGCACTCCCATTTTATAGATGAGGAAACTGAGGCTGAGAGTGGATAAATAACTTGGCAAGGTCACCCTGCTAACAAATGGTTGTCAGAACTAGAACCTTTTCTTCCCATTACATTTAGCTATCTCTAGTCTAGATTAAATCAGTGAAATAAAGCAAGCACATCATTAGCAGCAAGGTGTTCACATTCAGAACATCTAGACCTAATATTCTCTAGCCAGAAGTTAGGATGGTGAAAAGAGATGCTATCTCCAGATTCACAACCATTTCCAATCAGACTTAGACAAGATGCAGATTTATTGAGCAGAGGGGAGCTGGGAGGCAGGTGGACATTCAATGGTGTACAAGGAAGGGAAACCAGACATCACAGGCTGTTAGAAATATGTGCCAGGGGAACTAGGGTATAGAACCCTGCAGCATATGGAGGAGAAGCTATTCTTAGCCTATTTCCCCTTGCCACCCAGGATCAGAGAGAACATTTCCTAACTTTAGCTGTTGGGCAGCATACAGCACATTCATGATACTTCACCAGGGACATGAATAATAGGGACCACAAACACCAATATACAAGGAAAGCTATTCAGGAAACATCAGACCCCCACCCCCACCTTCAAGTCATCCAGAAATCCTGATTCCAATTGTTTCCTTCCTTCCCCATTTCAGTCCCAACTCAATTTTTACTACCTTCTTCCCTTGCCTTATCCTTTTCTTCTCTCTTTTTCTCTCTTCATAGAAATCAATGGGACCCAAATCTGCCCCAGCAACCTGGTTGAATTCCATGACTTCTCCTCAGACTTGGAAAATGTGCCACACCTCCGCTACCTGCGACTCGATGGGAACCAGCTGAAGCCACCTATCCCACTGGACCTGATGATGTGTTTCCGGCTCCTGCAGTCTGTGATCATCTAACTCCCACCTTGATGCCAACTGGACTTCTCTGAAGAGACTTGAACACCTCTCAGTCAGGGGTGGCCCATGTGCCCACTTCCTGACATGCTCCATTGCCTTTTCTACCCTCTTTGGGCTTTTCCTTTCTCCACCCATATAGGGTTCCTAAGGAAAGGAGGAGGACAGTTCCCCATCCCTTATTGCACTTCCCTTCCCTCATGTGGGAGTATGAAGTCTAAGAACTTACTGTCAACCCACCAGGTTCAAAGAACTGTCTCTCCTACGTATAAACACCAACCCCAAACTTCTTGCCATATATAGTCTCCTTTTTTAGGAGTCCCTTCGCCCACCTGGAAGTGTCAAATTGCATGTGCTTTACCCAATCTCCCTTCTCTCCTCCACCCTCACTCTCATTCACACTTCACCATCCCAATAATGGTCTGGCCCGTGAAATGGCATCTAGATTATTGACCTTGACCAAGGAGAGATGATGTCTCTTCCCAAACAGGTCTAGAAGACCTTGATCTAGGAGAGGAGATAAGTCTTCCCAACCAGGTCTAGAAAACACCTTTTATAACTGCCCATTGTGTAATTGTAGCCCAGGAGAGAGAAGAAATCTTTATCATATCATCCCTTCTACTGTTTCCTTCTCCCAGAATTATGCAGGGTTTCTATAGCCACAGCTGTTTCCTCTTCCATTCCCCATTGGCATCAAGCCCAAAATGGGAAGACATTTATCCCATTGTCATAGCTTCTTGTTTAACAGAAAGCATATAAGGGAATGGCCAAGAACTCCTAGAGAGAAGTAGATCTGGTATTCTAGCAAGAACCAGTATCAGGCAACCTCATACCTTCCTGGTTAGCTTTTGAAACGGATGAATAGTCTCGCGATGATGCCAGCTGAGGATCTGTTTGCACTTTCTGAGAACTGTAGGCTAGAAGCTCCCCCCTCCTCCCCTATGTATATCCTCTCATATCTTCAAGGGTGTTGAGAAAGTGTAGGAGCAGAGAAAGAGCAGTGAGTAAAGGGGAAGGTGGGAGGAGGGAATTATGTAGAATCTACATGGAATGGGTTGGTAGGGTTGGGTGAGGCAGAACACAGGAATAAAAATGGGATTTGTAGAAAAACAGAGCCTCCAGATCTCCTTTGACCATCCACAGTGAGATGTCTGATGTCTTCAAGGCACTCAATTCTCACATTATTGGGCTTGGTCATTCACCAATGCCAGCTTCATCATCTGGTATCTGTCTATGTGGCTTTGAATTAGCCAAATTAACAGCTGGAGACTGCCACTACCTACCTAATATTTCTACTACTTAGAGTGTAGAAGAGAAAGTAGGGAGAAGGGGAGGGACAACTGGATATCTCCCAGAAGCCTCTTCCATCATGTGGAAATGCACCTCCATGTCTAAGATGAGACACATTAGTGACACCTAGTGGTCAGTGGAGGTCAGTATTGTGAGTTCCGTTCTTGACTTGGTACTTCTTGTTCTCTTGCTCTTTGTCATGGTCACTTAGTACAAATACTGATGATGTCTTTTTTTTTTAATGGTCCTGGCCTGGGACTAGCTTCTGACTTCAAAGTGACAAAGGAGGATACATATCACAGCCTCCCACCATACCCACATCTTGGAAGGCCATGGGCGTCTTTGAGCATTGGCTGTTCCTGCTTACGATTGTGACAAGTGGTCAGAGTTGATCACAGAGAAATGACATCTAGCATTAGAGTCAGGTTCTGGCAGAGGCTTCCAGGTCAGAGATACCTGGTCAGCATAGGTTCTGTTTTACTAGCATTGATCTTGTAACACAAGCTGGGGATCTGAGAGCTCCAGTTCGGGATCCACTTTTTTTTTCAATCTATTTAAGGATCTATTTTGAGAACCCATTATAAAAATCCAGTTGGGACTTGGAGAAAACTAAAAATCTCATCTTTCCCCTTTCATGACTTATTTTTCAATGGGATAGGTCCTAAGCTTCCATTCCCCTTCTCAATAATTTATTCCCTCTTCCCTTGCCTAATAACCATGTTCCACTTTCTGGGCCTCTCCCTCCTACTTTCTTTCCTTTCTTCTTGCCTGGCTCCTAGGTTAAAGCCCTTGGCTGGTCTCCAAGGTATACCTGGGTTTCTGACAAGAGTACCTCAGTCTTCCTTCCTTTGGCGAAGATTCTTCTCTCTTGGTTGTTACTCTCTCTCCTAGGTTTTTGTTTAATTATATGACCTTGCTCAACCTCTTTTGGTACAAAGCTATTTTCCCCTTGTCACATTACTTCAAGTGGGTTTAGGTTATTCTGTGTGTGGCTCCCTCCTTTTCTCCATCCTCCCACCACCACCATCTCCTTTCAATGGTGTTTCATGCACACTTGGAGAAATAATTTCCATTCTAGAATATTTTTAATCTCCCAAGACCAAATACCACCAGCTCTCTCTTCATCCCATATATATGGCATTGCTCACTCAGAGTTATTTCTTTTTCCATTCTTTCTCCTCCATTTGATAAGGGGGAGATTGCATTTTTAATCTCCTCAGAGACTTCCTTTCCACTAAAAGATCTCATAGGTAGCGCATGTGGTGGAATTGCCATTCCAAATTCCTTAAGTAAGTCATTTCAACTCTCCAGGCTTTGTTTTTAATAAAATCCATGAGTTGAAGAGGATCGGAAAGGTCCTCCAGTCCAACCACTGAGTCAAGATTCCATAAGCTCTGATGTAGGAGCACCTTAAGAAGGTGTTGTTAATAATGCATCTGTCATTGATCTCATAAAAAGATCATTGTCTCTCCACTTTATCCTTCAAGCATCTTGAATAACATTCCAATGCACAAGACTCCTTGAAGAAATAAATCACAAACATATATGGCAAACTATCCAGGAAACATCAGACTAGCCCTTCATCTTCAAGTCATACTATTCTTCCACAGAGATCTCACCTGATGTTCTTCCTCTCCCTCCTGTCAATTAAACCTACTGTGTAGCTATTCATTTTGTAGACATAGTACTAAGGCTATTCATTTTAGGAATGCTAGTCCTGCAGGCAGCCTCAAAGTGGAAAAGAAGTTAATTAGGGCTATTGGCAGGAGCTACTCATTTCCTTGTCCTACACTTCAACTGCCTTTTCTTTTTTATTATGGTGGTACACCTTACTGAAAGATGAATTCCCTCTTTAGGATCCCGTGTTCACCTGCCCTTTGCTTGAATACATCTGTCAACAGAGAACTGAGTACCCATTCTCTTTTCAGATCATTCTAATTGCCTAAAATTTTCTCCTTATATTGAGCTGTTCTGCCTCCTTGTAATATCCATGGGACCCTAGTTCTCCCCTCTAGGACCAAAAAGAAGTCCAATCCCTTTTCTACCCAAGAGTTCTTCAAATATTTGAAAATAGTTGCCATTCTCCACACCCCATCTTCTCTTCTTCAGTCTAAACATCCATAATTCCTTCAACCTTTCCTCATATGATTTCATTTAGAGTCTTTCGACCATCCTGGGTACTCCACTCTAGACACATTATAATTTGTGAGTGTACCTCCTCAAATTTGTCACCCAGAACAGAACTCAGTATTTCAAGTGAGATCTGACAAAAAAAAGTAGAGTAAAGACCATCACCTCCCTTGTTCTGGACCTGATGCCTCTCTTGATGCAGTCCAATGTCCCATTTCATTTTTTGGCTACCATGTCACATCATTGACTCTCACTGAGCTTGCCATTCTCTAAATCTCCAAATCTTTACATAAGCTGCTACACAGTCATGTCTAGCCCATTTTTTACCAAAATGTAAAACTTACTATTTTTCTCAAATTTCATGTTAGATTTGATCTATTATCACAGTGTCTTGAAGTCTTTTTGTCTCTGCCTTTTAAAATGCAATGCATGTGCTTTCCCTCTCTGCTCACATCCTCAGCAAATTTGCCATCTGTGCCTTTCTCCTTATAAATCTGTTGAACCGAACATCACCAAGGACAGATACTTCTAGCAAGCCAGTTAAAAGATTTCATCCCATGTTGACATCAATCCATTAATCAACACTCTTTAAGTCTGGTCTTTCAATCGGTTACAAATTCACCTAAATGTTCTTTAGTGAGCCCATATATTTCTCAGTCTTGTCTACAAGGATATCATTAGAACTTTTGTCAAGCACCTCGCTGAAATCCAGATTTGCTGTCATGACAATCTTCTCCTGGTCTACCAGTCTAGTTAGTAACCCTGTGCAAAAGAGAGAGAGAGAGAGAGAGAGAGAATGACATAATTTGTCCTTAGTGAATCCAAACTTGGCTCAGCTGACAGACCAATCCATTCAATAACCTGAGCTATAATTTTGCCAGGCCTTGGACACTATACTTATTGCCCAATGGTTTTCAACATCCACCTTTTCCCTCCACCTTTTTGAAAATTGGGACATTTGATCATCTTCAGTCAGAGCACCTCTCCTATTCTCCATGATTCTTCAAAGACCATTAATGACAATCACATACACAAGAAATGTGAATACTCTGGGATATAATTGTGCAAACCAAGTGTATTTTTCTTATCTGAAAATTGTAAGGACTAAATAATTTCTAGTGCTATTATCTACCCATTCTAGAATCTACTTTGGCTCTGGGTTTTAAATATTCCTTTGGCTTGATCTATGATATAGGTCATAGGATTATGAGGATTGAAAATTCTAGAACCATATATAATGTTAGAACTACAAGGCGCTTTAAAGGTCACTTCCTTGTCCACTTCCCTCATTTTATCATTGAGGAAACTAAGAGATGAAATGCCCTGCCTGAGGTAGTTGGTGATAGAACTAAGACAAGGAACCAGTTCTCCAGACCCCAGACCAGTGCTCATTATTATAATGTACTTCCCATCCTTCTCACTCCCTCTTGCCACTTTTAGGCATTTTCTTGGTAGCCTTTGGTTTAGGTAACCCACATATTTTTCAGGATAGAGGGGCAAACTTCTATAACAGTAGATCTTCTGAGCTGTACTTCTGCCTTCCTTCCTTGTGTAAACACAGGACAGCCCCAATTCCTTTAACTGGTTCTTTTGGGCTTGATACTATAGTGATTTAACCAAAGTGGGAGCAAGGAACTATACTTATTAATCCATCCTGCCTTTGTGCTTTCTTGTCATATTCTTAACCCTGCAGATAGTAGGTACTTAATAAATGCTTGTGGCTTGAACTTACAGTGTATCCCAGCACCTAGTTTTTACTGCTTCTCATCACAGTTAGGAGACAATACAGACCTGATGTCCAGCAATATGGTAATGGGAGCTACAGGCTTTCAGCATCAGGCTGCTGTTTGTACAACTTGTTGAAAGTATTTCACGGTGATGTCCCTGCGCTGTTCTCTTTAACCACATTTCATAGTCTGTCCTAGGTGACGCTCATTCAGACCCATGACTCATGTCTTCCAACAGAACCCTAGCCTGAACATGAGGGTGGGGATAAGCAGAGGTAGAGGAGGGGATGGGTTGTGAAAGAAAGGCTGTGACTCTGTACTGTGAAGTCCCAAATGTGATGCAGGAGATAGACCACAGAGGAGGAGAACATGCCAATATTGAGTTGTGCATATAGAACACACCTATGACACACACAGAGTGAAAACAAGTAGAAGTTAATATTGTGAATGGTTTACACTTTAATCAATATCTATTTATCATAAAGAGCAGCCACTATATTTGTGACACTGAACTGAACCCTGAGGGAATAGGGTAGTTAAAGAGAATTCTCAAAACTTAATCCCTGCCTTCAAGAGGTTTCCAATGTATCTCTTTTCTTTTCTTCTCTTCATTTTATCTCCGTCTCCTGTCCTCTTTGTCGAATCCAGGTGCCATTTTACAGAAGATTGCTTCCCCTGGCTATTAACTAATTAGTAGATTAAGTAATTTACTCTTTTGCTTCCAATTAGTTCCTGTAAGACTCTTGCTTAAAGTCAGTATATTACTGGGGATATAAGCAGCCATGCTTATATGGCTAGGTCAAGGCCCTTCCCTTACACATGACTTTCAATCTATGTTCCTCTCAGTTGGTGGTCAGGTAAGCACTACTCCCATGGTCCCTAGGGGGAGGGGAGGAGGGATCTCTACATGTCCCATGCAAATCAGAGCTGAATGACTTGAGCATAAACATAAGCCTCATGGCACTGTACTCTTTCTCCTCCTCTTTTCCTCCTCCTCCTCTTTCTCCTCAATTTGTGCCCTTGATCCCAGTGGCAGTAGCAAGCCGGAAAGTCTCAGAGATATGCTGGCTTTAGAGTCAATCACATCTATTGCTTCCTCTCAGATACCTTCACCTCCACATCTTCATAGACAAAAAGCCTCTGTGCTGTATGTATACAAATATAACATGCGCATGTACTCATCCATTGTACGTGTATCCACTCCTGGTCATGTTAACTTTGTGGAGCTTTTTTCTCTTCTCATATTTTCCATATGAGTGGAAATAAAACTGTATGAAAGGAATCCTGCCTGAGTTTGTTGGTGTTGGTAAATCATTAGATTTACTCCCTGTTCCTTGATCTTATCCTGTTGCTAATTCTGCTTCTCATCTCTCCCAGAGAGCCAATAGGTGCAAAGATCCCAGCCTTAAAGAAGTCATAGGAATAAAGACAGTGACAGCTGACAAGAGTCCTGAGTCTGCTCTTTTTTTCACTTGCCGTAGTATAGAAGAAAGTATGCTCAATTTGAACCAGAGGACTTGGGTTCAAATTCTGGCTCTTTCATTACAATCTGTGTGAGTTTGGACAAGTCACCTTACCTCTTAGGGCATCAGTTACCTCATCTGTAAAATAAGGGAATCAAACCAGATTTCTCCCAAAGCCCTCTCCAGCCCTACATCTATGATCCTGTGACATTTTATATCTTAAGGCTTTCAAAATATTTCATATACACTCTCCTTTGAGACTCCCAACAATCTGTGATGTCCTACAGGTATTATTATCCTCATTTTGCAGATGAGGAAACTGTGCCTGAGAAGCAAAATGAGTTGCCCATAGTCACACAGCTAATAAATGTTGGAAGTAGGATTTGAACCCAGATCTTCCCAATTCCACGCCCAATGTTCTTGTCTGCTAAGTTATTCTGTCATTCCATGTTCTTTTCTTGGTCACTGGTCCCCATATATGCAATGTTCAGAGACTGTTCTCCTTTATGTCTTACCTGAATCCCTCTTGCTGTCTTTTCAGCCCAATATTTCAGATTCTCTCAATCAATAACTGATTTCTACAGTGTTTTCAAATATACAAAGTACCATCCCCACAATCCTATGAAATAGGTAGCACAAAATTATAAGACAAGTTATTAAATGGATGGTCTGTCAAGGGAACATTAGGAGCCAATTTATATCTCTGTTTTATAGAAGAGGAAACTGGGTCTTGCCCAGAGTTTCTCAAGCAATAAGTATCACAGGTGAGATTTGAACCCAGATTTCCTGACTCCAAGTCTAGCACTCTTTCCATCATATTACATTGGTCAATGTTTGTTAAGTGCCTTCTCCAAACCTTCTTCTCTTCTTAACTTTCCTTTTACTGTTGAAGGAATCACCATCATCCCAGGCCCTCAGGCTCACAGTCCAGATGTCAGCTTCAACTCCTTACTCTTTCATAATCTTATATCCAATCTGTTGCCAATCCTGATTCTATCTCTATACCGTCTCTGGTACCTTCCCTGCTCAGGCATTGCCACCACCCTGGGTGCAGGCCCTCACTACGTCACACTTGGACTATTGCAATGGCCTGCTGGTGATTCTATCTAGTTCTTCTGCCCACGTCAGTTCAAACTCCATCTAGTTATCAAAATGATCTTCCCAAAGTGCAGATCTGTCCATGTTACCTCCCCCAAACCCCACCACTCAATAAACTCCAGTGGCCCCCTATTACCTCCAGGATCAAATATAAAATCCTCTGTTTGGCTTTTAAAGCCCTTCACAACCTGATGCCTTCATAGTCTTCTAGTGTTTTTAAACCTTCCTCCTTTTGCACATCCTCTTTAATCCAATGACACTGCATTCTCTTCGATTCCTCCAACAAGAGAAAGTATCTCCCAGCTCTGTGAACTTTCACTGGCTATTCCCCTTGTCTGGAATGCTCTCCCTCCTGGCTTCCTTTGAGATTCACCTCAAATCCTACTTTTCCTAATTCCCTTTAGTACTAGCACTTTCCTCTCTGATTACCTCCAATTTACTTTGTATATGCCTTGCCTGTATATAATTGTTTTCACATTGTCTCCTCCATAAGACTGTGAACTCCTTGAGAGCAGGGACTATCTTTTGCCTTTTTTTTTTTGTATCTCCAAGGCTTAGCACAATATCTGGCACATAATAAGGTCTTAATAAATACTTGTTGACTTGACTTGACCTATGTGCCAAGTAAAGTGGTGGACAATGTGGGAAATATAAGCAGACCATCTAATCTAGTGAAAGAGGCAAGATTGTGGGGACAAATGATCCTTTATTTAGTGTTGCAAGGTGGGGCCTCAATCCTATACTTGGTAGATTGATGGTATTAGGAAGACCTGATCCTGGAAGTTGGTAGAAGGGCTCCAAAGTAGCGACATCTTTGAAGGAGCCTGAGTTTAGGTAAGAACTACTGAGAAGGACCCGTTTGGGTTCCTCTTCAAAAGCAACTATGTTAGGGAGCCAGGCTTGGGTATTAGGTAGATTGGAGCAGGATGAACAAGAATTAGAAATAGTCTTGACTTCAGATGCCTAAACTGGGGACATTTCAGGAAGATTCCCACGTGCTTTAATTCCAGAATTACTAGACTTTCTAAGTCTGTTGTACTTTATTCTTTTTCTCTTTAATAAGGCATGGAGGTGGGGGGTGGGGGTGGCTAGTCCTGACCTACAATTTAATTTGTATAAGGAACTCCCAATGAGAGAACTTTTCCACCAATGCGATCATAACCTATTCTTCTATTTATGGTCTTGGAAAGTTGCTTGGAGGACTGACAAATTAAGTGATTAGCCCTGAATTGCCCAGCCAGGATTTGTCAGAGAAAGGACTTGAACCCAGGTCTTCCTGACTTCAAGACCAGCTGAGCCATGCTGCCTTACAAAGTATTTTGCAGGTATTATTTCATTTTTTTTTCTCACAAAACCCTTGGAAGCAGATAGTGGAAGTCTTGTTATTAATATTTAACAGATAAGAAAACTGAGGCTAGTGGTTAAGGAACTTGCACCAAATTGCCTAGCTATTAAATAAAAAAAAAGCACAAAATGGTCCTCAAACTAAGAGACAATGAGGAGTGGTGGAAGAATTTGGACAAATTACTTGACATTTCAGGGTTTCTGTTTGCTCATCTATTTAATAGGCCATTAGATGAGATGATCTCTGGGGTCCCTTCCCACTCTAAATCTACTGACTTCAGAATACTGGTAGGCATTGGTATCACATTCACTGATCTATTATTAGGATTTTGCCATATCATAGGATTTGGAGGTGGGAGGGCCTTAAATCACCTAATTTAACACCTTCATTTTATAGAAGAGGAAGCTGAGACCTAGAGAGCTGAAATGATTTCTCTAAAGGTACCTACACCAAATTAGGACAAATGTCCAAATGAGCTCTCAATACAGAGCTGGGATTTGAACCCACATCTACTGGTTCAGGGTCTTCTTTTCTCAATCCTCCTTAATCTTGGTGCCTTCCCTCTGAGACTTCCTCCAATTTATCCTATATGGATCTTACTCGTCCATGGTTGTTTACATGCTGTCTCTCCCATTGTGAGCTCTTTGAGAGCAGGGATTAGTTTTTTGTTTGTTCATTTTGCCTTTCTCTGTATCCCCAGTGCTTAACACAGTGCCTAGCACATAGTAAGTGCTTAATAAATGCTAGTTGACTGACTGACTGCTTGCTACTCTGACTCCAAATTCAAGTTAGTTGCTAGAAAAGCCCTTTTGAAAGGCCTAACCTTGATCTCATGTGTACTTAGGAAGGAAGGAAGGAGGGAAGGAAGGAAGGAAGGAAGGAAGGAAGGAAAGAAGGAAGGAAGGAAGGAGGGAGGGAGGCAAAGATGGAAGGAGGGAGTGAGGAAGAACTAGAAACAACTGGAAGCAGGAAGTCTGGAAGGGGTTAGTGGCACCAGCAGGTTGCTGAAGAAGGAGTCTTAAAGCCTCAAAAAAGTCTCAAAAGTTCAATGTTACTGTAATTGAAAAAGAGGTGGAAAAGAAAAGGAAAATCTTAGGTAGGGCTGAGTTGGATCACAGTTTTAAGAGCCTGTCCCCTTCCTTACAGGGTCATTTCTTCACAAAGAAAGACATGACTGAATAAAAAGCAATGAACAAAACCAGCAATGCATTATCCATATTGGTTGGTGTACATTATAAGGGCACTCAAAGTCCAGAAAGGCTTAAATGCTCTGGTCAGTAGAAAGGTCTCTTCTAAAGGTAGGAGACTGTTTCTCCTAGAGACACAAAGCAGGCTAGCTATGCAGCTTCTGTAGGATGAAGACCAGGAGAATTCTGGGCTTAGACCAACACTCCTGTGTGGCCATCTTCTCTCGCTACTGCCCTCTGCCCAAGTACATGCCACTGTCTCTCTGTTAATAGCATAGACTTCCTCCCTTCTACTTGAAGGTCAGGAAGGATCTTGAACATTCCTTCCAATCCCCATTTCAGGTCAAGTCAAATCAACAAACATTTATTAAACTCCTACTATTTATCAAATACTGTGCTAAGCACTGGATATACAAAGAAGGGTAAAAATCATCCCTGTCCTCAAGAAGCTCCCATATCAGAATCTAATGAGGGAGACAAATGAAAATAACTATGTATAAACAAGGTATATACAGGAGAAATTGGAGGTAATCTCAGAAAGAAGGCACTACTGTGAATGGGGACAAGGAAAGGCTCTTTGTAGAAGGCGGGATTTTATTTGGGACCTGAAGGATTTAGATTCAGGGCAGCAGGAGATGGAAAGAGAGGGGAGAGCAGCCAAGCACAGATGACAGCCATTTCAGAGGGGCACCTGACAAGAGTAGCCAGCCAGACTTCTTTCCAGCCTGCCACCTCTAGTCCATCATCTTGGATCCTATCCCTCCTAATGAGAGCTCTAGGTTTGAACCTGCCCTTTCCACCCCTTGCCCCATGGCCCTCATACTCAGTGGGGTCAGTACTTCCTAGGGTAAGGTCAGATGTTTCTCACACATGCACATGTCATTTCATATATATGTTTCTCCTCCACTGTACACACACATGGCCCTTCTTACCTCCCAGAAATGCATGGAAGTCAGAGAGAGTGATTGATTTTGAGGGTGGATATAGGTGGATAGTGTGTGTGTGTGTGTGTGTGTGTGTGTGTGTAGGTCAGAAAGAGTGTGAGCACGAGAGTTTGTAATTCTATGGATAATTGCAAGAAGGGTGTGGGAGCTTCCTTGTGTGAGTGGCTATGTATATGTGTGGCAGCAAATTTGTGTCTTCATTTGAGTGTGTGGGAGAGAGCTATTAAGAGGACAGGGGCACACCG